AGCATTCGACTTAATGATAGATTGTATTTGCAGATAAGGTCATTGTATCCGGCATAGAACTTGCAAAATGATGACTTTAAACGAGACTGATGTCCTTGTTTCATCAACTTGTTTGTCAGTAGCTTGCTTCGTTTAATAAATTGTTCGTACTTGGAATATGCTCTTGTGTAACGAATTAACTGGGAGATATAAACCCCATATGCAGGTGATAAGGGTATATTGCTACATAAGTAAGGGAAGTTAACGATAGGAAAGTTGAAGTCATCACGTTTACCATAAAGTTTTGTTAGCCTGCCATTAACGTCTTTTTCTAATAAAATATCCAAATATGAAACAGATGTGTGAGACTCTGCATGTGGTATCTTTTATTTTAGATTCACTCGGATATATCGAGTCGACATATGAATGGAAGTTAATTGATAATACGTCTTCTTCTTCGAATGTTTAAGTTTTTGAATAAATTCTGCTTCATATGAATACAAAAACATCGTCGGATACCTACGGATGATCTCATCTTTTACTCATCATCCGAGGGCAAACTAGCCGAAAAATCGTCGTATGTAATTAAAATGCGCGGGTCATTTGATTGGCTGCTCCACAGAGTCGCGATGGCAAATCAACATTACTTATGTATGTTCGGCAATGACAAAAACCTTTCCGTAGTTAAAGAGGTTCGTTCCTGAACTTTTGAGCAGATTTTTGTCTTGACCTCTATTTAAAAAATTCTGCACAGTGTTTTAGTTCTTACAAGGAATTTGGATTCTATAATGCTAATTAAACTATATTCAATTAAAACCCCATATGATTAAATTCCATACCAAAAGCATTAAGTGAGGAACTATTTTTTGTGGCGGAAGGGTTTTTTTTTTTAAAGAAGAAAATGATCTTTTTTTTTTCTTTCGAAGTATTTACAGTAAAATTGTTTTAACTTAAAAGTTTGGATTACTATCTTTACCTGCAGCCTGCACATAGAGTTTGTGCAGTGAAATCTTTTATGCTGGTCCTAAATTATATATTAAATTAACTGTCATGAATTCTATAATCATATTGACAAATATAGCAAATATATTGTGAAAGTCCTGGGAAAAAATTGCACAATTTAAGCTTAAAATTAAAAATTACACTTTTTTAGTATTTATCTAAAAATTTATATCACAGACAACCCTTTTAATTTTCTCTTCTGAACATATAAGATAATTTTAACCATTCGGCTTAAATTCAGAAAAATGTCATTACATGTACTTTCAAATGATTTTATTGCTTGTTTTTATTTAGCGAGACTACAGCGGGATAAGGTAAATTATTCACGGAAATGTGGCTAGGAAGTGACTTCCACGTGGAGACATGGTAAACATAAAAGTTATGTTGCGTTTCAGTTTTCACCATTGTATAATTTTTGTAGAAATGTACTTCAGTCTCTCTTGAATTCATTCAAACTTCAATAAGTACTCGTTATGAAATTATTTTCTGCAGTTATGTATTTAAATTTCTTTTTGGACAAACATACTTGCATTGGAACTGGGACTATGTTTTTTGGTGTCAGATTAGCAATTGAGGTACGAACATGGCTTAAACTGAAAAATCAGCTGAATGAGTTGAATTGCATTGTGGGTTACTACATATACTACTTGAATGTTACGCTTAAGAAAGTCGCCCGCGTGGCGCAGTGGTTAGAGCGTCTGCTCTAGAGTCGCGAAGTAAGGAGTTGATCCTTACGTCGCGGGTCTGAATCCCACTGTGGGACCTGAAGACCGGTCCTTCGGATGAGACCATATAAATCGAGGTCCAGTGTCGCAGTAGGTGCTGGCACGAAAAAGGTCCCTCACTGCTCAATGGCCGTAAGTGCCGAGTATAGGACAAAATTTGCAGCTCTCCACCGGCAAGTGGTGGCGTCTCCATATGAGTGAAAAATTCTCGAGAGGGACGTTAAACAACAAACAAACAAACGCTTAGGGAAAAAAAAACAATTCTACAGGCGATCGGAAAGGCACAAAGAACTTTTTTTCATGCATTTCGTAGATGAAAAGTGATTTGTCCATTTTCATTCTAGTATTCCGATGCTCACAATTACAAACAATTCATTTGTCAAATAAACGTAGAATTCTAGCTTTCTCAAAGCCAAACTGTACTTTAAAGGCGATTTAATTGCGTCTGTATTCATTTGTTGTACTATCGATGAATACAATTGTCAGGTGGGTTCCCTGGCCAAAAACACATGTGATCACGGGTATTGTAAAAAAAAAAAAAAAAAAAAAAAAAAAAAAAAAAAAAAAAAAAAAAAAAAAAGAGAAAAACTTTGTTGTCCATTTAACAATTTAAATGCCTAAGAGATGCTGCTCGTTTTACTTAACCTTGAAGTGCTGGTGTTCTGAACGTGGCACAGACCATAGGGGCTTGTCTTCCGGATTGTTAAATGTAAAATAAATTTTAAAAAATTTGAATCTTCTTTAAATACATTGTACACTTAAAAGTTATTTAAGATAGAGATTCTGACACTTTCAGTCAAGAAAAAAAACACGTTTTAAAAAGACGTACCACACGTATATACATAAGTCTACAAGGGACGAAAGCTCTCGTCTTGGAAAATATACCCCAACCCACTTCAGCGCCTATATCTGGACTCTAAAGCATTTATTTATTTCGTTGTCATGGTTCTTTCCCCTACAGGGATGATTTTCCTAAATGTTGATGCGTTTATCAGTCGTCAACACGCGTTTAATCAACAGAAAACGGATACAATATCTTCGATTTGGGGCTCATTTTTCTAAATCGACCCGGAGACTACATTTTATTATGTATACATTTTCTAGTTAACAACGTACATGTAACAACAAATTGCAAAGGCCCGTGACATCTTTCAGTTTCTAATAATTGTATTTTTTTTTTCTTTTCATAAAAACATTTTTTTGCTTTGTTTTGTTTGTTTTGTTTTTTTTTAATTGATTTTTGCAGTCCATTTAATTGACCTGAATCACGTGTTCGAAGTAAAATGTAAACATGTAGTTGTCCAGTAAAGTGCTAGCATAAATAGCAAACTAATAAACGTATTTTCAAAATTGAAGAGTTCCAATTTTCTGATTGGTTGTATATTTCAACAAATTAGCATATTTTACGACATTTTGCCGACTTTGCCCACGGATAATGGGTATTTTAAAATGAGATCACCCGTGGGTATCGGACGATGATGCAAAAATAAATAAATCTAGACTACAGGCACATCCGATATACCTACGATATATGCCAGTGTATTCTTCAATAAATAATTGTTCTTTATGAGAAAAAAAAAAAGAACAAATGATTTCCCGGATATCAGAAAATAAACACTAGTCTGACGAGTTGTAATTTACTGTCTTTTTGTTAAATAGAACAAAACAACTTTATCATATTCAAATATTTATAGACATGGCAATTAGTAGACCAAAGCTTCTATTGATCGTGTTAATTACAATACAATGCAAAATAGCCAATTATAACGATTGTTCTGATTCTTTAGAAAATATTCAAGATGTGATCGATGGGGGTGAAAGTGAAACACTTTATGTCCATTTTGCTAGTATTGCATTAATTGTTAACGTTTGTCTGATTATATGGGAGAAAAACAGCTCCGCGAACATTACAGGTAAATATCAAAATTATGTTGCAATCTATTGTAAAATTACTGAGTAGCCTCATTTACGAATTTAAGGAATGTTTTTAAGATTGTGTGAGTTAACGGTGTGTACATCACACAGACTTGTCACGTAGGCAATATATATTTCACAAAGCGCACTAGCGTGCAAGTCTGTGTGATTTACACATCAATAATTCAATCTTTAAACTTTAAGAACATTCCTTAAATTAACATATTACATGTTTAAAAGCACCAAAAAATATTCTCAATGTTTGAATTTCTTGCTACCCGATATTGTTTTATTTTATTAACGTCTCTGCAGCCTTATTCTTACTTTATACTTTGGCGCGAGTATCTCATGTATATTTCTACGCGTGAGTATACACGAAAATGGTTAAAGTTGGTTAAGTAGGAAATACAAAGCAAATGTAAATGTATACAAATGTACTGAATTCTTTAATTTGCTTCTATATTCTTTAAAGCAGAAAAAATTGAGATTCAACACATATTTCTCGTTAAAAATTTTTAAAATTGAAATTTTATAGAAAGACATAAATAAGATGTCTGCATGTCGTTTATCCATTTGGTGCCGTGAGAGAAGATTTTCCCTGTATTAGCTAATCAAGTCACATATAAAGTTTACTAGTAAAAGAAAAAAAACATTTATAAATCGATGCCCATTGTATGTGATTGATATGGAAGTGAATTCAACGAGAGATGTAGATTAATCTCTTCCTATTCACTGGAATAATAGACTGGAGGTTCAATTTGAAAAAAAATATAGAATACAAAAAAAGAATATTAATACAAATTTGCAGCACAATGCTCATAATTCAACAATGCAATTCCACATTTAAACTACCACATCATATTTCATTGTTGCGCTATTTAAAGAATATTCTGTACAAATTAAATCTAGCAGTGTCTTTTATTTTTGTATGTGTGTGTCACTATTCAATAATTGTCCATTACAAATTTGTGTTAAAATAAAACATTTTCTTTGTTAAGAGAGTACATGCACATTCGATGAAAAGCCGCCCCCCGAAAATATGAAGAAATAAATGGATTTTATGATGCCAGGATTTGGTTTTCAAATCAAAATACGTTATAACCTAAAACGTTTTACACCCCCCCCCCCCGCTTTTTTATTGTTGGATCTCTTATCTGGTTAAACAAGGGTGAGTAGTGTATATGACACAAGATTGTTTTTTTTAATATATATTTTACATATATTTTAATTTTCGAAAAAAAAAAGATATTGAAAGAAGCAATTATATCATGCATATAAAGAAGCAATTATATCATGCATATAGTGTAAAAACTTTATACTTGCACAGAATAACCTATAGACTTTCTCTACTTTATTTACCTTTATTCCACTGTAGAAAACATGTCGGATATTATAACACTTAATGTTGGAGGAACAATCTTTAAGACAACGCGAAAAACTCTTCTGAATTTTCCATCGACTCGTTTAGGAAAATTTGCCTCGGGAGTCCATAATCTGGATACTTCATCTTTCGATAGAAATCACATCATTTTCTCAAATGTTCTGGATTTCTACAGACAAGGCGAGCTTCATCTGCCCACAAGCATGTGTGCTGCTGTTATAATCAAGGAGTTAGAGTACTGGGAAATAGATCAGAGTCATATTTCTGAATGCTGTCTGAAAATGCTTACGGAATACGAGGAGAGTCTGCAGAAACGAATAGAACTGAAGAAGAGTTTAGATGACTCAGAATTTGATTACACGTCTAAGGAATTAGAGCACAACAAAGTCAATCAAGTCCTCAGACACATCTGGCTGTTTTTAGACCGTCCTAATTCATCCAAATATGCATTTGTGAGTTTACTTTGTATTTTCTTCCTTAGATTTTAAGAAAATTTAGAAAGGATTTCATTTTGATATAGCATGTTTTATGAATAGTCTTACAAAGTAGATATATAGACATGTACATAATAATACTTATTACATGTATATCCATTTAACCCGCGGATATCACTCGTTACATATATTCTTTTTTCATATACCACTGTTATGACGTCACAATGGTTTTTGCATGAAAGTGATGAATTCAATTAAAATAATGTCATAAAAACAATGTAAAAACACTGATAGTTATGTTTAAAACGTGAAAAAAAGAATCTTCTATGATTTATGGTTGGATATGATTTTATCCAACTTGTTGTGTGCTTTATATCCCCTCATCAAGGCTCAGGGATAAAAAAAAAAAAACCGCACAGCTCGTTTGATAAAAATCATATACAACCACAAATCATGTGAGATCCTATATAGCAGCTTAAATACATGCTATATCACTTAAACATATACAAAGGCTGTTGCATGAAATGACTTCTATTTTCAGATGTACAGTCTTTTGTTCATGCTAATAACAGTGTTATCCGTAGCGTTGTTCTGCATGGATACCCATCCCTATTTTAGAGACCAGTACCAGACCTTGGATGAAATTCGATCACTTATGAATTTCACGGATCTGTTCGATGATGTTAATTTTGATAACCCAAAAGAGATTGTATTTGTCACTACAATTACTAATCCCGGAGTATACAACCTACAGATTGCTTGCTTGGCGTTTTTTACGCTTGACCTTATAATTCACTTTGGCTCATGTCCTGCAAAGAGAAAGTTTTTTCGGTCGCCACTCAATTTCTTAGACGGGTTTTTGGTCTTCTCTATGTGGACAACAACTATCATGGAATTTGAAGAAATATGGAGCGCTGGGAGAATAGCGGGCTTCTTCTATATTGTGTTTAAGCTGTGTTCTGTTTTCCGTATGTTTCGACTTCTACGGTTAATTCGTCAACACAATGGTCTCAACATGCTATTCATGGCAATAAGAAGTAGTAAATGGGAAATCGGACTTTTACTTGTGGCTTTCTTGATTTTCTCAACGTTTTTTGCGGGATTTGTTTATTATGCAGAGTACAAAGAACCAACTACATTTCCAAACGTTTTTGATAGCATATGGTGGGCTATCATTACCATGACAACCGTAGGGTATGGTGATGCATATCCTAAGAGCGTTGGTGGGAGAATTGTGGGTACGTTTTGTGCTCTTTCGGGTGTCTTGATAATTGCAATGCCGATTGCTATTATTGCGTCTACGTTTAGCGATTTTAATGATAAAAATAAGGTACGGTTGAAGGTTCAATCGTTTAAGACGCGCAAAAACAAGATCGATGTGTGTGAAATGAAAAATGAAACGAGGGAAAGTTCATCGTTACATTCAAGGTTTTAAAATTTAATTTTGTTGATGTATTGGAAACAAAATATTAGAATGTGTGATACATTGCCTTCTTTCAACAAAATATGTATTTTGACCCAGATATACATGTGCAATTGGCGCCTAAAGAGGGTATGAAGATTGTCCGAGACTTTTTCTACCCATTAAGTACGAGTACGTATATGAACCGGTTTTGTAAAGTAGGAAATTTCTTCCATATCTAGCCCCCCCCCCTTCTCAGAATCTAGGGCCCGTTTACAAAAAAAAACTTATGACTAAGACCAAAATTTTAGTCGTTGATATTAAAATCATGCAAAATTATTGATTTTTGTTATAAATTGCTTGCATAAAAATATCTTTCTAAATTCTCTTAACAAAGATTAAAAACTTTTTCAAATTAATGTAAAATACAATGTAGAATGTTATTCGGAAAATACATTTTGGTCTTAGTCGTAAGTTCTTTTGTAAAACGGGGCCCTGTAACCCCCCCCCCCCCCGGGGGGGGGATAATTTCACACTCTAGCCACATTTTCCCCCTCTTTCTTTCTCACAACAGGATTTTCCCCATTTGATAGATGCATAAATCAGATCGACAATATTTTGGCTAAAAGTTTTTATGAAAGCCGCCTGATTTTTTAATGCAAGTCTTTCCACTCAAGAATTGTTCGTATTTAGAATGAAATCTTATAGTTCAATTCATTGAGTCTCAACCCAAAATTTTAACGCACAGGAAATTATAAAATTAGTCACTCAAAGATTTCTCAACAACTCTCTTGGCATTACCTCTTGGGACCTGTTTGTTCATGAATTTTAAAATGTATATCAGGCCATCTTTAGAGATGTTATCAATTGGTTTTCACTCTACCAGCCAGTATTTATGGATGGGTACTTTTTACAAAGTGTGTTTAAGAAAATATTTGAATTTATATTATTGATAGGTTCCACATACCATTTTTGAGTATTTGAATCGAGTAATTCATAGGAAAATTAACAAGACGTGTTTGTGAAACACTGATGCCCCCTTATGGAGCTTATGGTGAAGGTTAAAGTTTCTCAAATGCAAGTCAAACTCCAGGTCAAAAGATCAAAAATGTTGATACCCAAAGAAGGGTCTTGTCTCGCGGAATATACCTGTGAAATATGAAAGCCTTAACACCAACCGTTGAAAAGTTATGGTGAAGGTTAAAGTGTTTCAAAAGTAAGTAAAACATCAAGGTCATATGGTGCCCAAGAGAAGGTCTAAAAAAATTTAAAAGTAGGTCAAATTCCAAGGTCAATGGGCCAAAGTTGTTGGTATCCAAAGGAAGGTTTTGTCACAAGGAATGCACATGTGAAGTATGAAAGCCCTAGCACTAATTGTTCAAAAGTTATGACCAAGGTTAACGGTTTTTTCGAAAGTACACCTCTGTAATCAGACTACAAGGTCAAACGGTCAAAGTTGTTGGTGTCTGAAGGAAGGTCTTGTCACAAGGTATACACATAAGAAGTTTGAAAGCCCTATGACAAACTATTCAAATGTTATGGCCAAGTTTAAATTTTGATAAAATTTATGCTAACAATATCCATAATAAACGATAAACATTTTAAACATAAATAAAATAATTAAAGTCTGTAAGTACTTCTGCTTCATGCACAACGGAACATTGAATGTTCTTTTTTCAACGATAATCGTCGTCATGTAGTTGTTCAGAAAGCACTACAATTCGTTATCAAGAAATATACCGATGTTTCTAGGACTCATTTATAGGTCAGATAAAGCGTTTCTGACCAAAACTTCAAGAATCCGACTTATATGCGTGTATATACACTGTACATTATTTGTTTATGAATATATTCATGCTAAATAATCCTTTACCAAACTTTTAAAATTTATCTTTTTGACCAACTATTAAATTTGCACCTACCCCAAGTCTCATATCTTCAATTCTAATTGCATCATTTCTAAGTAATTTCAAAGTCTTGGTACATGAGAACCAGATTAGATTATTAGTGTTTATTATATAATCACATTGATTTACACTTCTTTCCATGTGAATAATTTTTGTACCTTTTACACGATTAACAAAATACTTCGAATTGAGTACCCATTCAAAGTTCTTGATTTTTAATGTGAATGGTTTTGTTTCAAACATTTTCAAAAGTGAAATACTAAAATTTGACCATTGAATAAAATTAATATTTTCAAGGCGTTTTATATTCACTGAAAAATAAGAAATGTGTTATATGTATTTGCAATGTAAAAAGGAATTTGCTGTAAAATGCCCCTTCCTTTCACGAAGAGTGTTTAAAAATACCCCTTTAGATAGCAAGAGTGAATAAACTATCCTGACACTGACTAAAACTGCCAAAGTTTCTCTACGTTGTTAAAAGCCACGTTCACAATTTTTAATGAAATGTCTGGAGATAACGAACAGTATTCAAACTAAAAAGTTCACATTAAACAATACAAATTTTGGAGCAGAGCAAACACGGACCTCAAAGCCTACGCCACCGCTAAAAGGCAAAATGAACAAGAGGCCCATGGGCCACATCACTCACCTGAGCACATTGGCTTGGCAAAAGCACAAATCAGTTCAGTATTGAAAAGATTACTGGGGGGAGGGGGGGGGCTTGAATTTTAAACTACCTGATGATGCTTCCATGTCAATATAACAAATGGCTTTGTTGTACTTGAGAAGATTTTTTAAAATAATTTTCACATATATTCCTTTGTAAAAATTTGATCCCCCATTGTGGCTCCTCCCTATCCCAGGGGTCATCATTTCAACAAACTTGATCTACGCTACCCGAGGATGCTTCCATATAAATATGACTCATCTTGGCTTTGCTGTTCTTGAGAAGAAGCTTTTTAAAGGTTTTTCCTATATATTTCTATGTAAAACTTTGATCCTCCATTGTGGCCCCGCCCTACCCCCGGGGGTCATGATTTGAACAAATTTGAATTTACACTACCTGAGAATGATTCCATATAAATATGACTCATAATGGCTTTGCTGTTCTTGAGAAGAAGATTTTTAAGGGTTTTTCCTATATATTTCTATATTATCTTTATTCCTATATATGTAAAACTTTGATCCTCCATTGTGGCCCCGCCCTACCCCGGGGATCATGATTTGAACAAACTTGAATCTACACTACCTGAGGA